CCCCGAATGAAATGGTCAAGGCGAAGAAGTTGTTACTCAAGTACGCCAATGTTTTCTCGTCAAACGAAGCTGACATAGGAAAGACTGGCTTAGTTCAACACAAAATAAACACAGGACAAGAATTGCCTATTCGTCAGCGGCCAAGAAGATTGCCTGTGGCACGTGAAAAGGAAGTGGAAACCATGATTGAGGGAATGGTGAAGGATGGTGTTATTGAACCTTCATCTAGTCCATGGTGTTCACCTGTAGTGCTGGTAAAGAAGAAGGACGGCAGCATGCGGTTTTGTGTTGACTACCGCCGTCTGAACGACGTTACGAAGAAGGACAGCTATCCCTTGCCAAGAATTGATGACACGCTGGACATGCTTACAGGCGTAAAGTGGTTTAGTACGCTGGACCTGAAAAGTGGCTACTGGCAGGTTGAAATTGACCCTAAGGACAAGGAGAAAACTGCATTCTCCACAGGAAAGGGTCTGTGGCAATTTAAAGTCATGCCGTTTGGATTGTGCAATGCTCCAGCAACGTTTGAAAGGTTGATGGAGCTTGTACTTACAAGGCTAATTGGAGATGCCTGTCTGGTCTATTTGGATGACATCATCATCGTAGGCCGTACGTTTGAGGAACACCTTTAAAACCTGGAACGCGTGCTCATGAAGATCCAGAGTGCCAACCTCAAGTTGAGTCCGAAGAAGTTTCACTATTCAAACGGCAAGTTAGTTTTTTGGGGTATGTAGTGTCGGAAGAAGGTATCCGCACGGATCCAGAGAAAATTGCTGCTGTCAAGGAGTGGCCGGTCCCAAAAGACAAGACACAGGTTAGAGCATTTTTGGGTTTGTGCTCTTATTATCGGCGATTTGTGAAGAACTTTGCAGATATAGCCAAACCTCTGCACAAGCTAACCGAGGAGAAGCGACAATTCTGCTGGGATGACAGTTGCGATATTGCATTCCAGGAGCTCAAGAACCGTCTGTGCAAAACACCTATTTTGGGGTAACCTGATGCGGACAAGGAATTCATAGTTGACACAGACGCAAGTGATATAGGACTTGGCGGTGTGTTGTCTCAACGGAATGGTGATCAAGAGATTGTGATAGCGTACTTCAGCAAGTCGTTGTCAAAGCCGGAAAGGAACTATTGTGTCACAAGACGGGAATTGCTTGCTGTGGTAAAGTCCTTGCAGCATTTTAGCAAATATCTTCTAGGGCGGAAATTCCACTTACGAACTGACCATGCTGCACTGAAATGGCTATTGCAGTTCAAAAATCCGGAAGGACAAGTTGCGAGATGGATTGAACTACTGCAGGAATACGACTTTGTGATCGAACATCGCAGCGGGAAATCTCATGGCAATGCAGATGCATTGTCAAGAAGACCTTGTCCTGAAGATTGCAAGCATTGTACTAGGCAAGAGGGTAAGGAAGTGGTATCTGTGAGAATGCTGCATGCACAGCAGGAAGATTCGGACATTAAGCCGATTCTGGAATGGATGAAGGCCAGTGCTCCTAAGCCCAAGTGGAGCGACGTCTCAGCAATGAGTTCGACCACGAAAAGCTATTGGGCCCAATGGGACAGCTTGCTGATTCAGGATGGAGTCCTGTGCCGTAAATGGGAAAATGGTCGGGGAGACAGGTGTCATTTGCAAATGGTTGTCCCTAAGGCTGAAGTGCCGGATATTCTACAGCTGTACAATAGTGGTTGTTCACGAGGCCACCTGGGAGTTAAACGAACTCTCTTGAAGATCCGAGAACGGTTTTACTGAGTCCACTGTCGTGACGATGTCGAGGACTGGTGCCGCAAATGTACAAGTTGTGCGGCTGTAAAGGGACCTCAAATTCGTAGTAGAGGCGCATTGAAATTGTACAATGTTGGTGCACCATGGGAGAGGATAGCCATTGACGTTGCGGGGCCGTTTCCAGAAACTGAAATTGGTAACAAGTATTTCATGGTAGTGATGGATTACTTAACTAAGTGGCCAGAAGTCTTCGCCATTCCAAATCAAGAAGCTTCAACCGTTGCAGATAAACTAGTTCATGAAGTCTTCTGTCGTTTTGGAGTACCTTTAGAGATTCACAGCGATCAAGGAAGGAATTTTGAGTCTCAAATATTCCAGGAAACTTGCCGAGTTATGGGTACTCATAAAACACGAACAACTTCTTACCACCCACAATTTGATGGAATGGTAGAACGATTTAATCAGACATTGGAATGGTACCTGGCAAAAGTTGTGGAAAAACGGCAACGAGACTGGGACAGGCACATACAACCGTTTTTGTTGTCATATCGAAGCGCTGTTCACGAAAGTACATCAGTGACACCAGCTTTCGTAAACTTTGGGAGAGAATTGCGGCTGCCTGCAGACCTGATCACCGGAATACCACCTGATGCCCCACGCAGTATAACCGATTATGCAAATGACTTGCGTAACAAAATGAATGACATTTATGAGCACGTCAGACAGACGGGCCAGCAAACGTCTGAGAAGATGAAAACACGGTATGACCGCAAAATGAACAACAAGGGGTTTGATGAAGGTTCACTAGTGTGGTTACACAATCCAGTTCGCAGCAAAGGGAAATCTCCTAAGCTTCAAGCTAAATGGGACGGACCGTACCGGATTGTGACGAGGATCATTGACGTAACCTACCGGATACAGAAAGGTGTCAGAGGTACTCCTAGGATTGTCCATGTGGATCAACTGGCGCGTTATTATGGGGCCAATAATGCTCGGGACGAGCATGTCTTAGGAGGGGGCAGTGTTACGCGCCACTATTAATGTCTTGTACATGGCAACACTAGTTACACTAGCGCCCTCTAATGTCGAGTAAAAGAAAGTGTTGCGCGCCACTATTAATGTCTTGTACATGGCAACACTAGTTACACTTGCGCCCTCTAGTGTCGAGTAGCAGAACTAGGAGAGTCGAGATCCTTCCAGAAATTTCGGGACCGATATGTACTCGAACATTCTAGATGTCGCTACAGTGGAAGGTTCTGGAAACTGTCTGAGGCCCTATATAAGACCGGTATGGACCACGACCAGGGCAGTATTGAATTGGCGATACAAGAGAATACTTCGAATCGAAATAACGGCGAACTGTGTTTTATTATTAGTGTGATTTTAGATTGTAATTAGTGTTGTGTAATTAAAGTGTCAATTTTGGTAATTCAATCGGCAGTTTTGAATTGTCTCGAACCCCAAGCTCGTAACAGTATTAATGAATTAATGGAATTACATTTCTTTAAATAATTTTTGCCGTTTACTGTTGCATAAAATATTATTTTTCTTTACAAAGTCACACAGTACGAGGTCATAATGGCCAGCAATGAAAGTGATAGTGACAGTTACGAGACTGATACTGATACTAGCTAGACCAAAATCCTCCAAAATAACAAACACTGGGCAAAAAGATGAGTAATTTAAAATAAAATAAAATATATTTTATTAATTTTATATTATTTTGATCACCTCTTTCTTGGTTTACTCAATTAAGTAATTTTGTTCATAGATAGCTCAGCTGACGTACCAAAGTGGAGAAAATATATTTAAATTTTAAATTTATCGTGAACATTCTTTCCTTTCCTTGCGCCAATGCATGAGAGAGGTGTGTTTAGCCAAGTAAATGAAATCAATACGAAGAAGATAAATATACTAATTACGAAGACTATAAATGGAAACACTTCGTGTTGATATTACACCATCGAAAGACATGATTACAAAAATAACTTCGTCAATTTATGACCAACAAGTCGAACTTTGGAAGAAAAATATATTTATAATAAAAAAAATATATCATAAAAGCGTTGTATTTTGTTTTACATTGACACGGTAATAAACACTGTAATTTAAAAATAAATCTAAGTTAATTATACCTAAATCACGGTAATTTTAGTCTGCTGACATGATAGTTTGCAATTATCATCTAGTCTGGTATCACTGGTTGGTAGCATAGGGGTTATGGAGTGTAGAGTACAAGGAGAACCATCTTATAAGGGGCGAAACTTGAAAAAGTGTCCTACTATTTACTGAAAATAGAGATTCCAAAACCTACCACAATAGCGCTGGCGTCTGAAAAACTACGATATGAATATAGCTGTTGTAGACGGAGTGAAGTCAGCTGAATTCAAATATTTGAAAAATTTAATGACTAGAGTAGTTAGTAAAATGCCAGTATACAAAACCTCAACTATTTACGTAGTACAAAACCAAGCGGATTGGTCGATCCTTGTTTATTTCTCCATCTTATTCTAATTAATTTTGGCGCTTTTTTTTTAATTTATCCTATGCTACTGCAGCGCCAACCTTATTGGACGCGTTTTTAGGGACACTTTTCTTATATAGAGATGGTCCTCCTACCAACTTAGAACATTATTATACGAACAAAATGATACGTTTTATGTGCTTCTATCTACATTGCGAAGCGCTCGGCTAGACTTATTTTAATCTCACTAGAAGGCACTTATATATTAAGTCTATGCATACGCAATAATCCACGCGCACTACGCAGTTAGTAGCGGTCACTGGTTACGCTTATTAATATTTAACATTATTATTGAACATTATTTATTTTTAGAAAATGCCATTTTATCTGTTTTCAGATACTGAAAACTGCTAAAATATTATTAGAATACGAAGGTAAATTTCGCCACAACGCACAAGATTATAATTGCTTAGGTGGATAATCAGGCGGTCCCGAAATCTAAAGACCCCGGAACCCCGGATCGCGTCCAGCAGATGTGTTTATTATTCCCTTTTTTTCAAGTTCCTTCTTATGTAAGCGCCGTCTGTTATGCAAAGCACGACACTAAAGAAAATAAAATTTGAGTTGCGCATCTATCTCTAGTATATATACAGTAATCTATGGTTGATAGTCAAGCTGTCAATTTGGTGTGCACAAATTATAAAGTTGTATGTACAAGATTGGTGTGTTGGTTGAGTTCAAATTACTTTTCTATTCTAGTGTCTGAATTTTATTAGTTTTATATTCAATAGCTAAACATTCAAGATGAAAATTGAGGAAGTTAAAAGTACCGCTAAAACTCAAAGAATATCAGCGCATAGTCACATTAAGGGTCTTGGATTAGACGAAAATGGTGTACCAATTCAAATGGCAGCCGGTCTCGTGGGCCAAGAATCGGCTAGAGAGGTATTTTAAATAAGTGATTATTTGAAATCTTTACAATATTTTTAAGTCAAAGTAAATAAAAGGTGTTTACTTTTTATAGAATTGAGTTTTATAGTTAAGGTTTTTTATTATTGATAAAACTTTAAGGTTATTATGTTTGGTTACCATGGAGACTGCGAAACTTGAGTGTTTTTTTGAATTTTTTAATGAATTAGAGATCAGTGGCGTAGTATGAGTACCTGTTGCTCTGGGACGATAGAACCAAACTGCCCTTTATACCCTGTTTCGAAGTATCTTAAAAATATATCAGTTTGCTAGAGCCGTTGTATGTATATTTTTTAAATATATTGACTGTGTGCATATCTATTATTAGAACTTACAATGCTTTAGTGCTTGTGATATTTCAATCTAAAGTATAACAAGTAGCAATTCCTCTTATAACTCCTGGATCTGAAGCTGCAGGGCAGGATATAAGTGTTTTGATCCTGGACCTTATCGGGAATTTCTTGTCAGGAAAACCCAACAACTGAGTTTTGGCTTGACCTGGGATAACATAATCAGTATTTGAGCATAATATATAACTACTATGTCATCAAGGCAATCAAAATATTTTTTTCGGCCCCTAGTAAAAGTTTTAACCGTTATGAAGGTTGGACAATATTTTAATCTATATTTCCACCATGGCTCTACCTTGTATGACCATGTAACATTAGATAAATTAATAAATTTTTAATTCACAAAGATAACACAGCTAAACTTTATAAGCAAATAAGTGATACTGCTAATTGTCTATACTGGGGGTAAAATACGGTTAATGTGGGATAGGTTATGGATGCATAGTATGAATCCAAGTTCTAAATTTTGTAATTCTGTGTCAGTTTGAACAATATGTGCAGATACTTTTCTCTGAAGACTGTTTCATCATCTACACTTCACTATTGGTAAACATTCACTAAAATACTAAGCACATGTCTATAGTTATGTCTCAGCAAAACAAATGTTAACTGTTCAATGAAAATAAATGTTCTTCATGATAAATTGATAAATCAACTATTATTATTATTACCTGTACCATTAACCCCTTACTTATGTATACAACTTGTGTATAAAAAGTCTTATTAAATCTTTTGCTTCCTTAATGTTAATGCCACTCTGTATAATTTTTAGGCAGCTGGTATAGTAGTTGATATGATAAGAAGTAAAAAAATGGCTGGACGAGCATTACTGCTAGCAGGCCCTCCAGGCACTGGGAAAACAGCTATTGCTCTTGCTATTGCTCAAGAACTTGGTAATAAAGTGAGTATAACTGCATTCATCCTTCATTTTATTTTAAGTCTATGTTTCTCTGAAGCACACTTCTTCTAGAAATGGCTAAATATCATTATGCACACTATATACAATATTTATTTTATTAGAAAACTTGATGAATGTTGGTCGATGTAAGTTAGTAGTAAGTTGATCTTGTATTGTTAGTAACATGTAAAAAATATTTATTGTTTTTAGGTGCCCTTTTGCCCAATGGTAGGTAGTGAAGTTTACAGCACAGAGATTAAAAAAACTGAAGTTTTGATGGAGAACTTTCGTCGAGCTATTGGTCTTCGTATTCGTGAAACTAAAGAGGTATTTGAAGGAGAGGTAACAGAACTCACACCGGTAGAAACTGAGAATCCTGCTGGAGGTATGCATTTGCGTGATTTTTTTACTATACAGCATGTAATAAAAACTATCTGATCAAAAAGGAATGTTTAGGTATACCAATAAGCTTACAGACTATAAAATAGAAGTGGATTTAATTGGATTTTAAAAATAGTCAAGTTAAAGTTGACTGCCTCATCGAGAATATTTCTGAAGCAGCTGGAAACAAGAATTTGGCTGTGTTTCACCGCGAGTCTCAGAAAGCTCATATAGTTGTTACTTTCCCATCGTACTATGAGAGTAAGAGAATAGATAGTGCATCAATGCTTGCACACACACTTGTGCAACATTATTCAGTCTTGTATATAATAAAAAAGAAATAATAAATTTTTATAAGCACAAAAATATATTCTGCAACCCTGTGTTAAGCTTACTATCATTGGTGGGTCGCGCTCAATGTCGTTACTAGTTGTTGCTAACATGTCACACACGAGTAGCCCATAGTAAGTCAACTAGCGCGGCGTTCGGTGGTGGGGATGTTTAATAGCTGTCACGTAAGTTACCTACAAACAAAGGGGAAACCACATGGTTGGCCCAAGAATCTGCATGTCTGACAAATAAAAAAAATTCGAAGACATGTGAAATTCGCCAACATGATTTGGGTCAGCGCAGCGGACTTTTCCTTGCTTTAAAACCCTCTCAGAAATGAGAGGAGGCCCGTGCCCAGCAGTGGGATGTATATAGGCTGTAAATTTACTTTTAACTATTGTATAACCAACAGCTGGTGCTTTTGTCAATGTACCCTTACTATGATTTAGTGGTTAATAGTTATATTTTATTATCTATTACATTTCTTATTTTAAGAGAATATAAATACATATTTTTGTTACAGGGTATGGTAAAACAGTGTCACATGTAATCATTGGGCTAAAGACGGCAAAGGGTACAAAGCAATTAAAGTTAGATCCAATTATATATGAGTCATTACAAAAAGAAAAGGTAGAAGTAGGTGATGTTATCTACATTGAGGCAAATTCTGGAGCTGTAAAAAGACAAGGGCGGAGTGACACATTTGCAACAGAATTCGACCTTGAAGTGAGTACCTTCGTTAATTTTGTAGAAATTTCATTTTATAGTTATATTAATTACCAACAAAACATTATATCATATAAACAGATAATTTCTTTGTGGTTTAATAACATTGTCATACAATGGTTTAGTAAAACATAATAATTTTATAAAACTAATTGTGAGGTTTCATCACATTTAATTTAACCTTTTTTAAATCCCAACGCTTCGAGTGCTTTGCAACACCCATGGTCACAAGAAGGGACTGAGATATCTGATGTCCCGATGCCATAGTTAACCCATAGTATTTTCAGCTTTTATTTGTTAATTTTGGCCCAAAATATGCAGAGTGAGATTACTGTATCATGAACTCTTGCAAGTACTATGCATGGGTTTGGTTCTAATTTTATTAATTACCAGATACCAAGCAGGTAGTACCCAGCTGCCTTTTCTATTGAAATTGGGATGATTTTTAATTTCAATAGTCTCACTAATCATCCTTGAATCATCAAATCTGATGTAATGGCGGATGCCTAACTACAAATTGCAGACTTCCTCTGATTATTATGAGAACTAAAAACTTAGGTTATTAATAAAACTAAAAAGATGAGTAATAATATACATATGGCCCGCTGCTGAGCACATTCATCCCTCACTGTTGAGAGTTTTTGGAACATTGGAGTCTGTTGCACTACCCAAAATGCATGTGGGCAGTCTTAACATACTAATATAAATGGTTTCCTCACTATGTTTTCCTGCACTGTAGCTTGCAATTAATAAGAGCACACAATAGCAATGAACAATTTCAACAAAACCAAAATTCAAACAAACATAAATTATTGCATGTCGAGCGCAAAGCACATAGGTATGTTTTACTAGCGCCTAAAAATCAAGATTCCAACGTTTTGTCGCATGGAATCGTATCTAGCAATCATATTATACATATAAATGATATAAGAAGCACATTGTCAGAAAGATAAATGATTGTTGAACTTATTAATATATTTTTTTAAATCGATTAATTGCTATTTTTACGTAAAAAAGTGGTTTTAGTAGCTTATGGTGTGGATTTATCAAGTCCGCAAACCTTGTAAACACTCTAACTTTTGAAAATATCAATTGTTTAACTCAATCTATTTTTTAATCTCTTCATCTATCATGTGGGAAGCCACTGAATGTAAATGGTAGTGTAATTTTGTTTTGTTTAGCTATAATTAATTTTTTAGGGCTCCAAAATGGCGAAATTTTCGTTGATTTGGTAGCCTTGTGTTAGAATTTATTTCACTAAATGGAGACTGCCTGTGCCTCACTCGCGTCGCTTAGTTCGTCGCAAACCGCCGTTGTGAGTGGATACTGTATTGGTTGTTTGCAGTGGCTCAAAAAGACCGCTGTACAAATAAATACAAAATATTTTAAAAACAAATTTCATACATACTTGATTATTATAATAATCAGAGATTTTTATTACAATATTTTAAAAGCACAGAATAAATAATAGGAGTACGTACTAAAAGTAAGTAGGATGTAATATTTATCCTTGAATACGTCTTGGACTTTTTGGAGTGACATGAATGATGATATGATGATCATATGAGCATTATGAGTCATGCACTTTGGATTTTCCAAACTTTTTCAAATTGTAGTTTGACATAAAGTTATTAGAAAATTGGAAGTATAATAAGGTTATTAGTGAAAACTTGTGAGTATTTAAACTACTTTAAAAAAATCCGTTTAATCATGCTATACATTTTTTTTTTAATGCAAAGGCATGCTCAATTGGATTTACCAATATATTTTAAACTGTTATTAAAGTGAAGACTTAAAAATTTTGCTGAGCTATCTATACAAATAAATAAAATTGAAGTGTCTGTTTGTAATGTCAAAATAACAGCTTTTTACTAAACGCATATGAAATTATATACGGTACTTATGACAAAAACACAATTTTTAAAATTTTTGTCTGTCTGTTTGTTCCGGATAATCTCCGAAATGGCTGTACCAATTTTGACGGGGCTTTTACTGACAGATAGCTGATGTTATAAGGAGTAACTTGGCTACTTTTATTTTGGAAAAATAATTTGGGTTCCGCGCAAAACAAAAACAATAAATTACACGTGAGCGAAGTCGCGGAGCACAGCTAGTCAATTATAAGTTTGAAAAGTAGTACTGAATACTTCTTGATGCATTGCCATAAATTATAATATTTAAATTTTAGGCAGAAGAATATGTTCCCTTGCCAAAAGGTGATGTACATAAAAAGAAGGAGGTAGTTCAAGATGTGACATTACATGATTTAGATTGTGCAAATGCTCGGCCACAAGGTGGTCATGATATTATGTCTGTCATGGGCCAACTCATGAAACCAAAAAAGACTGAAATTACAGGTATGTTTAAAAATTGTTACCAATTTTAGTTTCTTCTTTTGAGGACTATTTGTATTAGTTTTTTTTATAGAATAAGGGTGACAAACACAGTCCACCTGATGTTAAGTGGATGCTAGGGCCCATAGATATCTACATTTAATCTTGTTAAGAATCAAAATGTAGATGCGTTGTCACCCCTGAGGACTCAGATGGAATGCCCCGTTTCTAGTAAAAATGGTCTCCAGTTCGCTACACACATCATACAAAACACAGCCGCATTAAGTTGCTATTTCTCGCTGGTATTCCGTGAGAGCGTGGTCCTTCTCCGGTTGAGCTGACCCAATTGTGCTACAACTGTATTATAGCTGCAGTGTGGCTCTACCACATATAAAATAAAAGTGCATTGATATCTGCCTTAGATTTACAAAGACTTCTTCTAATTTGCCCATACTATCTAACAAGAAACCCACTCACTATATTCATTTCTTGTTTAATAATATGTAATTTTTTTTATAGATAAACTAAGAAAAGAAATTAACAAAGTAGTCAACAAATACATTGATCAAGGTATTGCTGAGTTAGTTCCAGGAGTGTTATTTATTGATGAGGTTTGTATTTTGAAATGATTTTAATTAATGTTAGTTTACTATCATTTATTATGTAAAAAGTGTTATTTTGGAACTACTTGTGTAAGATTCATCCTTTTTTTTATAATAATATGACCTCGAATTATGTGCTTTATGGTCGTTTTGTATAGTTAATGTTCAACATACATTAAACATTACCAGCATAATTTATTTAAAAGTTATTCTTTTAACATTTACCATATCATGTACTGTAACACCATGGAGCCATGCCGAGCCGTGGTATTTAAATGGCCCGCCACAAATCGCATAATATGCAAGTTTTTCTAATGGTTGTGTAGCAAGAAAACCAATTGTTCTTTATTGCCTCGATGATGTCGTAACAACTCATGAACTCGGTAGTTAGCGATAATATAAACAAGTAAAATTTTATATATTAAGTCTAAGTAGTAACAAGGAGTAGTGTTAAAGGTGCTTGTTATACGTCTTTTACTACGGTCACCAATCTGTCTGCGAGTTTTGAGATTACAGCGAATCTTTTCTACGATGAGGGAAGCGCCTTTTAAGTAACAGACTGTCATAGTTCGTGCAGTATATATATAAATTATAATAGAGTCATATAAACAGAACTCTTGTTTTACAACACATGTCAATGGATGAAACCGCCTTGATACTTGTTATTAACATTATTTAAAATTGAATAACAGTATATTATAATATATTAATATGGTGAATTGTAAGTTTTTTTGAGAATGTTTCGGCCAACTAGGGTTGGATCTTGGAGAGAAATATCTACCTTAAGCCCATGTTTACCATAAAAATAAGAAAGCGATTTCACGATGCGTGTGTTTGATGATTAAAATTCATCATCAGATGGCTTCATTCATAAATATATGAAATGAAACATGGTAGCAAATGGAGTAAATGTTCTCTGTATTTATGAATAATATTTGAACAACATTTGAATGACATTTACGTCTTATGAACCTTTTAAGGTGCACATGTTGGACATAGAAACTTTCACGTACCTGCACCGCGCTCTGGAGTCCGCTATTGCACCCATCGTCATTTTCGCCACTAATAGAGGTCGCTGCCAAATAAGGTATTTACATTTTTTTTATAATAGATAAGCGTAGTAAACTTGTGTTATGGCTTTGACTATGTAATTTTTTTAAAAAAATTTTTTATTGCAACATCAGCACACAGGTTTAGTTATATTTGAACAAAAGCTTTCACTTAATTTTAAATGTGCTTTGCCTTCAACATCACTATTGTAGTCCATTGTTAGGCCACTACTGAACATAGTCCTCTAAAGATTGCCAAAAAGCACGTACTTGAGCTACCTACATCTATTAACTCACTGAATGCTTCATCAGGTCGTCACTACATCTTGTAGGGGGTAGGGTTCCCTACATCTATTGGTTCTTCAAGGTATATTTTATAGCTTAAGATGTAATATGATTTGCTCCACATAATTTTAATAGATCTATATAATTTAATGTTTACATTGATTTATGTGTATTTCAGAGGGACCGAAGATATAATTTCTCCACATGGAATACCACTAGATCTGCTAGATAGATTGCTAATTATACGCACGTTGCCCTACAATAAGGCAGAACTCTTGCAGGTGAATATAATTTGTTTACTTGGTATTTAATTAATGTATTTACCAGTAAATTTTGTACTAATTTGTTAAATGTAGAAATTATAACTTAGTGACTTTTGTCTTTAAAAATAAGCTAGTGGTTTTTCAGCAAACTTCTTTGTTTTGTCAGTTAGTTTATAAATACTTAACTATATGCAAACTAACTACTTTCTAGTGCTAATCTTCTTTTTACCTTATATAAAAATTATACTTAAAATCTCTTTAATTAATATTTTATTCTATATTTTTCTTAGATTTTGAAATTACGCGCTACCACCGAAGGGATAGCAATTGAAGATGAAGCATTGGCCGCTCTTGCTGAAATAGGAGCTAATAGCACTCTGAGGTTATTAGGATTATATTAATTCGGTTTATTTAAGTATTTGCTTTAAATTAGACTTGCAACGAATAGTATATTGGTGCTTTCTGGACGAACAACCGAATATAAGGCAAAAGTATTCAGTCGAGACGGAGGCAGTGGTTATTCAGACCATCTTTTCTCTGAAGCTGGGATTGTCTACGAAAAGAAAAGGAGTAACCTACTGCCTGAAAATGCTGAAAAATTAGTCTTTCTGCACCTTTTATAACTTTTAATTATGATAATTTTATAATACGGAAGTTAATTACGTACCTATGAATACTTTAACGATTACAAGAAAAATACATTATTAAAAAATAAAAATCTATAAATAAAAGGTAGAAATAAAAGTCCAACATATGTCCCTCCAGTAAAGCTTAACGGTTCACTTTTACAGAGAGTAACCCAATTTAAATATCTGGATCATATTGTGACAGAAGACTTAAAGGATGACCTAGATATCGAAAGGGAACGCAGGGCGCTAGCTGTGAGAGGTAACATGGTGGCTCGAAGGTTTGCTGCTTGCTCTGTACCAGTTAAAATTACACTGTTCAAAGCTTTCTGCCAATCATTTTACACCAGCAGCCTTTGGGCCAATAATACCCAAAGCGCAGGAAATACCCTGCGTATCCAATATAACAATGCCTTCAGGTTGCTGTTGGGGCTTCCACCTTGATGATTACTTTGCGATCATGCGTAAAAAAGTGAGATCATTGATGTACAGAGTGAGGAAAAGCTCGAATAGTGTCTTGAGGGTCTTTGTGGAACGGAAGATGGCCCGACACTGGGTAGGTTTGTTAAGCTACATTTATTAAATGGAGCTTGATAAAACCCCCAAATTTATCATATTTTATATTTTTTTTTATATTTATTATTTTACATTTATTTTATTTATTTATATTTTCATTTTACCAGTTATCTGACTACAACAAAACATCTTACTTAAATATTCGGTATTCGGCCGAATAGTACCTAGATATTCGGTATTGGGCCGAATAGGATAAAAGAAGCCGAATAGGCCGAATACCGAGCAATAGCCGAATATTTGTTTCAAGTCTATTTTAAACCGTTGTTTATAAAATGTAACATTATATTTATAAACGATACTCGAATGTATTTTAAAATGTCATACATTTGACGACTCAAATACATACGCAGTGACAAAGCATTTGGCTGCGGCATTGCAAATTGCGGGATGCATTCCCGCAAAACCGCTCAACTGGAACAAGTACATATTTGCAAGGCTTACAAATAAATAGATTCGGGTCTTGATGTTTATCCTTGTGCAGTTTATTTTTTTATGTTATGTATTTAAACACCTTCATTTTTTCTTCACTTTTTTTATAGTATAGGGTGACAAACGAGCACACAGTCCACCTGATTGTAAGTGGCTGCTGCGGCCTATAGACATCTACATTTATCTTCGTTTGCGAATCAAAATGCAGATGCGTTGTCACCCGTGAGGACTAAGATGGAATGCCGCTTTTCCAGTAAAAAGTGTTTCCGGTTATCTACACTCACCATACGAAACACAGCAGTGTCAAGCTGCCATTTCACGCTGGTATTCTGTGAGAGCGCGGTCCCACCCCGGTCGAGCCGACCCATTCGTGCTTTAACTATACTACTAATATAGCTGCAGCATGAAAAAATTCCTGCATCAGTTAACCAAAAACTTAATTCTAAGGTTGAATCTGCCTAATTTGCATAAGTTAGCCAATTTCTGTTAGCATTCGTTTTCGCTCAACCATCATCATCATCATAATAAAGACCATCAAAATTGAATCAATCACTGCTGAACATAGAGTGTCATGGTGGGAATCTTTGCCATAGTTACCACGCTTAGTAGGTGTGTTGGTAACCGCAGTTTTTTTTAAAATAATTTTATGTTGTTATCATGAAGATGCTGTTACTCATCTCTTGTTCATTACCCTCTGTTGCCTTTTACGACTCCCACGGGATCATATAGGGTAGTGGATTTTCTTACGCCTCCACTACACGGCCTATTTCGCTTGATAATTTATTTAATTGAAGATTTGATTTTTTTAATTTCAGGTACGCAGTACAACTCCTTACGCCCGCAGCGTTAACTGCCCGGACAGACGGCGCTCAGAGGATCGCACCCGCCCATATACAAGCTGTCCAGACGCTGTTCCTCGACGCCAAGTCCTCTGCGCGTATTTTAACGCAACACTCTGATAAATATATGAAGTAGATATCTTTGTTCACAAACTCAGATATGTTTGAAAGGCATATGTCCAAATCATACTAATAAGTTTTTTCCGTCGAACGGATACTTTCCGCCATACAATGTCCGTACAGTGGTAAAATGAGCATACTGTGGTTTTTGTAACATGCAGTTACGTTAGTTACTATCCAAAGCTGCAAAGATAAGATTGCAATATTCTTATAAACACAAACTATTTAATAACTGAAACAAATTATGTGCGAAATATATAGAATTATGTGCTTTTAGCCATATCTATCACAATATTATGAAAGGGATAACTAACAATTTTAATAATTGGATTGAAACTCTATTACAAATTTTGAAATAGGCTCCGATATAAAAGTTTTTGTTTATAGCATTTTAATTTCGTTACAGTACTGTGATATGTTTGTTTTAGATTTATCTAAACGTGGTAATGACAGTTTAAAGTTTTGTTTAGAACGCGAAGACGCTGGTAAGTTTATTTTTGATGTGAGGAGTCACATTAAATAAGGTCAAAAAACATTTGTAATAAATAATTTTTTTATTAAAATCTTGTCTCTTATTCTATACGTCGTACTAACATTATGTACATTCTACAACAATTTTAATTCTAATATTTAACAACGGGACTTAGAACACGGGTATAAAAGAGTTAGAAAAGTAAAGAAAAATGTATTTGACATTATAGACTGCCTACACGTTGTTCATTGCCAGTCTGATTCATATTTACATCTTGAAGATATTTCTGTTGTGTCAGAAGCTCGAAGTACAACAGCTCGCAGTTCACGTTGGATTAAGGTCGGGAGTTTCTTTGTCGGATTTATTTAGAAAGTCTATAGGAATATACCTCGCGTCTCTTGCTTTCGATTTCACGGTAGAGCTCAAGTCCGGGGTGGAGGTCGGCGGAAGGAATGTTGGTAAATCGACTCTTATGGCTCGTTCAGCTGTATGTCTATACAATGCTTCAAATTGCATCTCTTCTGGAATCGAATGCGACATTATTTTTCTTTCTTCTCTAGCGTTGCTCGGGTACACAATCAAAATTTTTTCACCAACGCTTTGCAAAGCGACCGGTGGTAGGGCTGTGCTAGTAGTTATGACGGGTCCCGGTATTACTTGAAGCATCTCCGTCGGCGCGGGGCGAAGTTTTTCAGTCGTGGTTGTACTCGGAGTTGTCGTCGATGTCGTCGTGGTCGTCGATATCACAACTGGTATATCGGGATCTTCGGGAGTCTCTATTTCTCGATACTCGCCAGGTGGGCCTATGTTTCGAAGTGTTTCAATCTTCATTTCTAGGGTTGGCGTCGGCACCGGTACCGAGCTTGTGATATTCGAATCTTCAGTAGGTATGTATTTTGCGGTAGGTTTTGGTAACTCACGCGCACCGAATATAGGTAACCGAGGTGCGTATGCCGAAACTAATGGTAGCAAAGTGTCCCTAGCATACTGCTCGGCTCTTGATATAAATGATGCCAATCTTGATGGGAGGAATTGCACAACAAATCCGGTTTCTTCCTTTTCAGTTATTTCTAATGACGTAGATTCGTATGTTGGTGTGGTAGATACGTCGTAATTTTTGGGTTTACGGGAGGGTGGTGTTGGACGAGGTGCTTGCGTAGGTCGGAGCAAAGGTTCAGATATTTCATAATTATCTTCAAGCATGTCGGCTCTCTGTCGCGGCGTTTTACGAGGCCGAGGTCTTAAAACTGGTTCCGCGATTTCTATTACACCATTTGGAGCTGTTTTAGTATTCGTCATACCGAACGCTCGTCCAGTATCAGTTGCGCTATCCCATTCGTATGTGTCGACTAAAGCAAAAGGTGCTCTTGGCGAATCTTCTGGAAGCTCGTTTTCGAGGACATCGATTGCAGGTTCTTTGGTTATGTTATCTTTTATGACGATTTCTTGCGCAGTAGTGTTCGCGGTTTCGTTATCCTGCAATAAAAAACTGATATTTAAAAAGGCTGTAAGGTATGTATGATTTTATTGCGTGAATATAATTCATACCTGAATCATTTGACAGTCTCCAGGATATAGCGGCAACTGAACTGTCTCGTCAGACATCAGTCGCAGATTTTTACAGAAGGATGACCTGCAGGTGAAAATCGTTATGTAAAATTAAACGAAGCAAACCTGTGGCATACACCAATCATAATTTGAGAGGCCAACGTCTTATTTTTATTAGGTTGGTGATTATTTTTTTCCACTTGTTTGGGTAGCTCTTAACTAATTTTCCTACTACAGTACTTCATCTATATTCTGATTTGAAAGTTAAAGGGAGTCACTGTAATTATGAGCTAGAAGTCTTTTCATTCCAATTTTTAAGGGTGGTATGCAATAATGCACCTGTCACCTTTTTTGGTCGAATTTGTTGCAGGTATAGTCACTATATGGAAGCCTTTAATCTTTTTAACTTTTCCCAAAGGCGTCTGTTATGACACCCACGGAACGATATAGGCTAATGGATTCTCTTGTGCTTCGAAACCCCTCGGCATAATTTGTCAATTTAATGATTTGATCAAATGGAACACAACAATAGGTGCGATGCTGTTTGGCGACAGAAATATACTTCTAGGCAGAAAAGTCGCCTACTACTTGGTTCTCAAACCAACAAAGTAAGATAGACAAAGCAGTACGTAGATTTCAAGTGACGCTGAAATTACTACAAATGTACTTATAATAACATACACTCACGCACACATCTTAACACAAAACCATGTTGTTAGTTGCAAATTATTTTAGGTGTACAATTGTGTGTGCGCTCAACTTGTAACAGCGTGCACTCACGCACACATGCAACTATAACCATTTTGTTGGTTGCAAATGATTTTAGGCGCATATGTGTGCGTGAGTGTGTGCTCTTACAATAATTGTACAGGTCCCATCACGTAAAAATAACGCTGGCCTTGTACCTGCGCACTGAGCGATTTTTGGATCCAATCGGTGGTATATTTTAAATTTTTTTTTTATAGGATAGGGTGACAAACGAGCACACAGTCCATCTGATGGTAAGTGGTTGCTGTGACCCATAGACATCTATATTTATCCTCAAGAAAGAATCAAAATGCAGGTGCGTTGTCATCCGTGAGAACTAAGATGGAATGCCTCTTTTCCAGTAAAAAGTGTCTCCGGTTCTCTACACTCACCATACGAAACACAACAGCGTTAAGTTGCTATTTTACGCTGGTATTCTGTTAGAACGTGGTCCTTCCTCGGTCGAGCCGACCCATTCGTGCTACAACTATACTACTAACATAGCTGCAGCATGGCTCTACCACGTAAACGTATGTATGAAAAGGGGCGCGACGGGGGAATGCTCGCCGGTATTACTGTGCGCACGCTATTGGTTCGTCAGTTGACCCATGCTTCCCGCGCAGAAATATAAAAATACAGTCGCACACAACTTTTTATGCACGACGGTCGACGATGGTTTTAAAAAGGAAGGAAGGAAAAATGATTTATATTTATTGTTTTATGACTGAACTAGTGAACGAAAAGGTGAATATGATGGGAGAAGGTGAATTTCGAAAAATTGTACAGTAAAGTTAAAAGTATTGAGGAAAAATACCAAAAAAATTACCATGTGGTCGATCTGATGACGGAAACATTTATCATTCGTGTTGATTATGATGATTCTGATGACGGAAGCTCAAGCGAAGATGAAAGTGATGAAGTATCATCCAGTAAACACCAATACACCATCGACATCTGGCTTCCATGTAACCCAAGACGATATAATGGACGGCGTGTCACCGTTAGCTTAAGGCTACAGTCTTTTAAATTTGACTCACATCGAATCATTAGCGCCACTTTGATTTCTTTTTTTACAGCAAATTATTGTTTCAGAGTAAAATATTTTAATAAAACATAAATACCCAGATTATAAGTAATGGCTACATATATTTTTTGGTTCATCTATGTGGTTTAGGTTAGATAAATCAAACGTTATATAGAGCTCTCTTGCACCCAACGCAATTTCGAGCTTTGTTCGTGTACCATTATAAGACAATCGATAGTAAAAAGGCAAAATCTATTCAGCGCGTTAATAGCTAAACATCTTCATCTCCAAAATGCGCTGTTTCTTTTTTTCTAAATATCTTTCATTGTCTTAAATAAGAGGTCTCAATTTCGTCAAATTTCGCTGTTTTCACCTCATAAAAAACTATTTCGTTCATAGCAATTGCTGAAAATATTTATGCTATAATTATTTTTTTCTCAAGGGCAGGTGTTTAGTTAGACAAATATTAAAAAATAATCATTTAAACTACTTTATTTCAAAATTAATAATTATTTCGATCGACCTATAAAATAATGACTTTATAAACAATAATTGCGGGCAATATTCCTTTAAGGAATTTCCTTAGTAGCCGCTGAGCGGCTGTAGCGTTCAGACGTCTTGTCTGTGCCAAATTTTTGCGCTTCCTCTCGCTCTAACATTCCTCTTTCTCTTTCTTGCACTAACCTTGGTTGTGCATTGTTACGAATTGAAAGTTGCTCTACTTTATTATTATTTGCATATAATTCTTTAAGGGTTTATAAATCATTTTGTATTTGTTTTATAACTTTTAATCTCGATATGGACCATAAACGTAAAAAATATGCTTGTACCAGAAAAAGAAAATTGAAATCAAACGTTGAAGCAATGAACAGAAATAGAATTCAAAGGTAAGTTTTTTTGTGTTTCATACTACAATAGTTAACAACGTGCATATGTGTGAGCACTTGGTTAAACATGACGAAAGGAGACTTTTACGAACGACTTTAACAAATATAGGGTCTGTCACAAACCCTGACAGTCAAGATATGACGAATAAAAAGGAAAGACGGAAACGAAAGTTTGAGGAGGCTTTTCCCTTTCGCCGAATTTCAGTAAGAAAACGTCAGGAGCTTATGAATGTTAGTCAAAACCACCAGCTACAAATTGAAAATTATACAGAAATGACCAATGATCCCGAACTTTTTTGCCTAGACGGACGAAGAATCGTATCGATCAGATATTTTTTAGAAATTTTAGGGAAGATTTCTGATCATAATGCTAAATATTTTGGATGCAGATATACAAATCTGAAATGTATCGGTGAGCGACCAAAAGGTTTTGTATCAAAATTACGTTTTAAGTGTGAACTCTGCAATTCAGAGTTTGACATATGCACTGAAGATCCATCTAACACTTGTGATGTAAATCACGGTGTTGTTGCAGGTACTATTAGTATTGGCTGTGGGCTAAGCAATTTGAATGAGTTATCAGGTAATACCGATATACCTGGTATGTCAAAAAATTTGTACGCCCAAACAAGCAAAAAAGTTTATGAATGGTTCAATATAACGGCAGTGGAAGAAATGACCAAGGCTGGCGTCGAGGAGGCCGAACATGCAAAAAAAATTGGAAATGTAGACAGTGAAGGCACACCAATGATTGACGTGATAGCTGACGGATGTTGGTCAAAAAGATCATTCCGTAATAATTATTCAGCATCATCGGGAGCAGCAGCAATAATCAGTGCATATACTGGTAAAATACTGTACCTTGGCGTCAAGAATAAATACTGCATTGTATGCGCAAAAGCTGAAAACAAAAAAACTGAACCAGCAAAACACATATGCTACAAGAACTTTTCTGGCAGTTCTTCTAGTATGGAGTCAACAACACTCGTTGAAGGGTTTAAATCCTCACTTGAAACTAGACATGCGCGCCGAGCAAGAATTTGGCGGCGGCGGCGCGCCGACCCATTGTGGTCGGCGTGGCGACGCCGCGCCGGCGTGGCCGTATTTTATTTTAATTTTTATAAACATTTGTTTAAAATAAGGTAATAACAAGTGAAACATTGACCTAGATAGGAATTCAAATTTAATTTCTCAAAATAAAAACAAACCAAACAAGTTCTAATTAATTATACCTTATAATTTGTACAAAAACGAAAAAGCACATTTTTTTCGTTTTTTGCACAAATTATAGGAAATTAAAATTGTGTTTTTTGCACAATGTATAATTATCATGAATAAAAATAATTTTATTAACGCGTACTGGGCTTAGTCTAGATCTTTTAGCAGCCACAGTTAGTCCCACTATAGAAAAAACGCGCTCACTTGGCGGTTCTGATCACAGAGTACTTTTTATATACCTCACCGGCACGGAAACTTGGCCACTCGTGAATTTGCTGATTATTTGCACTGAAACGTTTTTTTAACAGTAAATTAAGGGTAGATGCATTCAATAAGTGTCTCTAATGGTTTTAGAACGTAGAAATTTAATGTTTACTTCACCGAAATTTTTCTTTTCAAGATAACATGTTTTCACTAAAATTAACATCTTTCCATTGTCACTTTAAAAACACTACAAAGTTAAAAATTAAGTCTGTTTCTTTATTGTCTATCAGTTTTAATATCGGGCGTTTCCTCCCCTAGCCCTGATAACCGCTTGCATTCGATCTGGCATGCTTTGAATGATGTTTCTGACATCAACTTGCGGTATGCTGTCCCAAGCGGCCAGCGCTGCATTTCGGAGCTCATTTAGAGTTTGTGGCGGTTTGGAGCTGGGCTTTATCTTTCTTTTCAACATACCCCATACATGCTCAATTGGATTTAAGTCCGGGCTACGAGCTGGCCACTGTAATTTTTGTATTCCAACCTCTTCCAGATATTCCTCTACAAAATGTGCGACGTGCGGGCGTGCATTATCGTGCATGAGGAGGAATTGGTCGTGTCCAATTCCTCCTCATGCACGATAATGCATCCCGAATAAGGAATTACGTGCTCCTGAAGAACTTCCTCGATGTATCGAGTAGCTGTAAGCCGATTATCGACGATGACCAACTCTGTACGTGCGTCGGAACTTACACCTCCCCATACCATTATTGAGCCTCCATGGAAACTCACAGTTTGGGTGGTGGTAATGGGTAGAAACCTCTCTCCTCTTTTTCTCCACACTCGTTCTCGACCGTCTGGAGCACGTAAAGCTATTCGACACTCATCTGTGAACAACACTCTAGCCCATTGCTCGTGGGTCCAATTGACATGTTCTCTTGCGAACTGAAGTCGGGCTACTCGGTGCTGTCTGAGAAGTTCTGGACCTCGTGCTGGTCTACGAGCTTTTAAATTCACTTCCTCCATTCGTCTTCTCACCGTACGCTCACTAACATTAACGCCTCTTGCGATTTGGAGCCGCTGGCGTATCTCAACAGCGGTCAGGTAGCGGTTTCTCAAAATCTCCATAACAATAAAACGATCGTCCCGGGCCGATGTGCACCTTACGCCCCCACTGCCTGGCCTGCGGGTGTAGCGTCCTGTCTCCTGGTATCGTTTCAGTGAATACTGCATTGAGGACTGTGGTACGTTAAGCACAATAGCAACTTCACGCTGTGTCAGCCCTTGATCAATTAATGCTACTGCTTGTGCAACTTGTGCTGGTGTTAATGGCATTTTTATTGGCTTTAAAGCACCTTTAGTTATTGAATTAAGACACAAGATCACAATAATTGAATAACCTTACAGTAAACTTTTCACAACACACAAATTTAAAATGTGAACTTAGTCGCTCAAATGACCCGATTCAACTAAAAATTAAAGAATTCGTCATGGTGCACTTAAACATAATGAATTACCCTCTTGAACTTGAGAGCAAACATTTTTTGACATACCTGCATAACAAACATTCATCAGAAACACTTAAAGCTTTTACTATCGCGAGATAACCGCTTGGCCAAGATTCCGTGCCGGTGAGGTTACATAAAGTTCTGATACGCGCTCCAGAGACTGTAAAAATTTAATTTGTTCTATTTCCGCCGCTCGCTTCAATTCCGGTAAGGGATACCGAACGATTTTTACGATCTTTTTACATTTTTTTATTGATTTTTTAATTTTTAAATAATAGCATGGTTTTATTGACCCCGCGCCCGCGCGCCCGTCCCGCGTTGGATTACGGCGCGCCGATCGGATTTGTCGGCGCGGCGCAGCGTGGGCAGGGCGCGGCGTGGCGCGGCGGCGCCGGCGCGGCGCGCATGTCTACTTGAAACTCATGGATTAATTTATGCTATATTAATATCAGATGGCGATTCAAGTACTTATAAAAAAATATTAGATAGCAATCCCTATAAAAACTGTAAGGTTCAGAAGATCGAGTGTAGAAACCATCTTCTAAGAAATCTGTGTAACAAGTTGAGAGCACTTACTAAGGATTCACATATACCTATTCAATCAAGAAAACTTTTAACGGACTTCAAAATTATGAAATTACGCAGATATACGGTGCGGGCTATTAAGCTACGGAAACGCGAAGATGTATCTGACAATCAGAAAATGATCAAACTTCGATCAGATATTTTGAATGCATTATACCATTCTTTTGGTAGTCACTTTAACTGCGATGATGCTATATGCCCCGCGACTGACAAAACTGATCGTAATACGGCACTTGACTTAGCAAACACAGTTTTGTGGAGAAAAATGAGTCAAATTGTCTCATTCTTAGCTTCAAATGCTAAAAGTCTCGTTTTTGACGTAGATAGCAATCCCGCTGAAACATTCAATTCGGTGATTGCTAAATATGTGGGAGGCAAACGAATTAATTACACACAAAGAAATTCATACCAAGAAAGGTGTGTGGCTGCAGCAATTTCTTTTAACACGAAAAAGCCAATATATACAATCTATAAGCGCATATTTGGCAAATCCACTGGTAAATATACGAATTCATATGAGACACAAAAACTGAAAAGAAAAGTGTACAAAAGATCTTTTCGAAAAAGATTTCGTAGAAATATGGATGATCCAGATTATGGACAAAAAGCACAAAGACCAGATATGACTGAAGAAGATTTTCAGATGTCAAAAAGTGAATTTCTTAAGCAAATGGAACTTTTAGACCAACAAAGAGACGATCTACAGATACATACGATAGATCAAAGTTCTAGTCAAGAATGGTTAGAAAACAGAAAAAATCGATTAACCGCGTCTATATTTGGTAAGATATGTAAACGGAAAGAAAACATCAGCTGCGCTCCGTTAGTGAGATCTATTGTGAAACCGCAAATCATATCTAATGTTCCATCGATAAAGTATGGCAAAGCTAATGAACAAACAGCATTGGCTCAGTTATCTCGGCAGGAAAGTATTACAATTACTCGCTGCGGTCTATATATACATAAAACACTACAATTTTTAGGGGCGAGTCCCGATGGTATTTATAAAAATAAAGAGAGAAAAACGGGACTAATAGAAATAAAATGTCCATTTTATTCTATTAGTTCACGTTTATTATTTTCAAATTCAGGGTCAGTTAAACATTACGGAGATGGATATGTGCTCATTTGCCATATGGACTGGAGAGGAGCATTCTATGAAAATAGAATATGTTAAGAGACCCTGCGTTTTGGCAGGTCAAAATGGTAGGCCCATTGTCTAAATTTTATTTGAATTGTCTGCTTCCTGAGCTAATTGATTCTCGCATGGAACGCTCGATGCCAGTCAAAGACCCTCCATACATCATTCAAGCCATTGAGAATAAATTAAAAAAAAATCAAAATAAATCTCGCGCTAAGTCGTCTGTCGATGCTGCTGTACAAGAATAGTAATTTATGCATATAGGTAAACGCTATACAAAGTTACATTATACATTAATGATAGACTATAAATATGTGTGATAGTGGACTGTTTGTACTTATATATAAATTATTTTGAGTTTTTTTTTAAATCTATTTTAGTATTTAAAACTACTTGACGTACTTGACGGATTTTCGATAGTGTCATCGACTTATTACGAAACCCTCAGTGCACGATTCATCCTCGCACTTGCCAGATTCATTTGAATAATCAATAATACGAGTACATGTTATACAGGTTCGAGATGATTATCTTTTAAAAACATTTTCAACAAAACAACAAAAATTATACAAACTTAAATTTTTTTTGTATAACAAATTTTGTAATAAAAGCATGGAACAAAAATAGTTAGATATGATGTAGAAAATATGTATGTGAAAATTTGTTAGCAAATTATCAATAATCCTGTATATTAGGTAAATTGATACTGGAAAATCTTAGTAGAGCAACTTTCCACGCTACGGCCAGAAAGATGACTGCGGTGGCGGCACATGAAGTGGCGGGGTAGGGAGGGTGTAGATGTGTCACCAGAACGCGATTTTTCTGTTTTGCTCTGAAAGACTGGGCTCTTAAGTTTTCTTGTTGCAAACCTACTTTATATTTTACGACAGAAATAAAAAGTAATGCTCAAATAAACATTATCTATTTTTAATTTCAACCTCTTCTAAAGTTCTAAGTAGCTAGTAAAGTACCGATTATGATTCTACAATAAAACAATTACCCTTATATTTATAAAACTATAGCATAGTACCATGTAGTACTTTGAAAGCGACTGTACTCATGGGCAGACAGATCCCCTCTATTGTCGCTCAGCGTTTTTTTTACGTGACAGGACCTGTAGCGTGGTTACGACGTCTCACGAAATGTACGTAGTGTTCTGTGTTTTTAGTGGTGTGAGCTAGCGGTATCGTGAATGAGAATGAGAATGAGAATGAGGATTACGTTTTGCCGAAGCTGTCGGCGATGAGCAGCTTGTGCAGGCGCAGCGAGCGCGCGCCGGCGCTGAGCCAGCCCGAGTAGGCGGCCAGGTGCAGCGCGGCGCGCAGCGGCACGCCCAGCGCCGGGTGCGGCACCAGCACGCGCGAGAACCGCAGCGAGCCCGCCGCCTTGCTCTCGCGTCTGCGCACACCGCACAACGCACACTTCCATTACCTACGACTTTTCTTTAACAATCTTTTAAACCATGAGCATGCAACTTAGAACATTATTTTATGAACAAAATGATATTTTTTTTGTGCTACCATCTACATTCCGAAGCGCTAGGCTAGAGTTATTTTAATCTCACTAGAGGGCGCGCTTATATAGTATATAAACAGGTTTCAGAACGCAGCAAACATCACGCGCTACTCCGTTAAAAGCTCAAAAGTGTAATTGTAAAAGCAGTAGTTGCGCAATCGAAAACGCCAATCCGTGCTCACACGTTCAACGTATCGACGAACCGCACGCCGTTGTGAACGCATTTGTATGTCAGTTTGTAGCCTGGTAGCTTGTACCGATCACAGCCGTACCCGTGGAGACTATGATCTAACCCGGAACCGCCCGCTTCGCATGCAACGTACCATTTAAACCACGAGCGAGTGAGATAGTGAAGGATAAAACCGAATAAACATTAATAATAATATCAAAATCATGCTCTTCCCATTCTATCTTGCCATAATATTCTTCGTTTTTTGATTCGCAATTTTTTCTATTCTCTACATAGTATAAAACAAAGTCGTGTTCCGCAGTCTGTACGATTAGATCTTTTAAACTACGCAACGGATTTTAATGCGGTTTTTATCAATAGACAGAATGATTCAAGAGGAAGGTTTAAGTGTGTATGGGACTGATTTTGATAAAATTTTGTGAGTGATTAAGTGGATTAGAGAATAGTTTAGTTTCGCAATTGGACCCGGCAGGTGGCGTTGTTGTCGAGATACAGAACTCAACCATTCGAAGCCGGGGCGGATCGTTAGTGTGTAAAAATAAGTACATATATTTGTTGTACTCTTAGTTTAGACTAAAGTTTAAACATGAACGTCTGTTCTTTGACTAGTTTTTGTCGTACTTATTCATTGGGAAGGACTCGTTGAGACCGGAGTCGCCGTGCAAAGTCAGCGTGACTCTGCCATAGTTCGTCTTCTCCCCTGCCTCGCTGCTACCCCACACCGATACGTGATATTGATGAGCTGGAAGCAACAAATCCCAATTAATAAAGATATATTTATACACTGAATTTTTTAGTTGATATTTTATGAGTCAAGAGGTAAAAAAAGTACAATCGACTTCAATATAAAATATTAAGGATAACTCAAAAACTACTGGTCAGACCTAATTTATATTCCATATATATTCCGGGTCTGGATGTTTGTCCTTGTGAAATTTATGTATGTAAACTGTCCCCACGTTAGGTTTTTTAAAAACAAACAATGTGTTGTCTGTTTTTTGAATTCCATGCCAACAAAAGCTGCTTATTACGATAAAAAAAGTTCTGAGACATGATCTCTATTATTACAGTGTGTTGAATACATTGTATATTCTCATTTGATTACATTAAGACGAAGGCGACAACATTAAAATTAAAAAGAAAATCCTGACACGATTTACAAACTGGCCAAATATTCTACAGTTCATAAAAAGTTGTACATTCATACATTAACAGGAAAAGTTTATTTATCCAAAACAGAATGAGAGTTTTTGAGTACTGTAATTTATAGTGTCATGTTATATTTGGAGACAAATATTTCAGCTTTTTACCACAGAATGGCTCTTCTTCTCTCGTCAGTAAGTATAGTTGTCCCCGACCAAGAGACCGATCCGCGTAGTAGCCCATGTTGCCGCATCTCCGATCCTCGCTGCACGGGAAGCATCGGCCCTGTTGAAAGATATAAAAGTATGAATTTCTATTCTTAATCAGCTACTTAATGGGTATCATCATCAGACTTTAATAAGAATCGATTGGATCACCCTCGTCCCCTATGCCCTAATCTTATTTGTCTAAATTATAATTTTACAAATACCTACGTTTTCGATATCACTCATTTTCTTAATTGTAGATTGTAATAACTATAAATTTTCTCAGGTTTTCTAGAAAAGGTCGTGCCCTCGTGGCCTATTCCTGACTATACCCAAACGTTCATACACTAAATTCAAAATAAAGTAATAATTATTATAACACTAGCTCGCCAGGCAGACGTTCTTCTGCCCTTTCCAGCGACCCTTCCTATAAAATCCTTAATTTCGCAATAAAAATTTTGAGGGTCATTTATCGGGATAAAAACTATCCTATCTCTCAAGTTGGACCAAAATTCACACAGTTTGCAAAATTTCATTGAAATCAGTTCAGTAGTTTAGGAGTCCATCGCGGACAAACAACGAGACACGTAATTTTTATATATAAAGATTAAACATTTTGTTATGTGGTAGAGCCATGCTGCAGCTATATTACTGGTATAGTTGTAGTACGAATGGGATGGGTCGGCTCGACTGAGGAAGGACCACGCTCTCACAGAATACCAGCGTAAAATAGCAGTTTAACCCTGCTGTGTTTCGTATAGTGAGTGTAGAGAACCGGAGACCCTTTTTACTGGAAACGAGGCATTCATTCTTAGTCCTCACGGGTGACAACGCATTTGCATTTTGGTTCGTCATCGAAGATAGATGTAGATGTCTATGGGCTACAGCAACCACTTACCATCAGGTGGACTGTGTGCTCGTTTGTCAACTTTATCTTATAAGAAAAGCATAGTAAACATTAATAATGTCCTCCAGACTGAATTTCGGTTACGGCGGCCAGTCTCGACGAAGACTGACTGGAAGAGCTCGACCTGGATAGAGATCAGGTGCAAGACCACCGTGTTTTTGTGAGTCGTTACGTGTTTTTCGAGGCATGGTGGTAAAGCACCACCAACATTCTGACTCCGAGTTGCTTCTGAGAATTTCTTGTCAGAACAACGACTTGGGATTCAGACCCGGCACCAAATTTATCAGCAGTCGCGCTTACGACAACAAGATCAACGAGGATCATAAATTATTTAGTTATAAACATTAATAACTTCTAGTGGCCCCCACTAAACGGAGTGACAACCTGATAAGACAGCCAGGAGGGTCGTAGGATGCAGGTGGCTCCAGTCCGTGTTTTGTGGCATTACTTGGGAGAGGCCTATGCTCAGCTGTGTACTTGTAAGGAACTGTAATGAAGATGATTATAAAACATAATTTATAACACTAGACGAGGAAGTGGTTATTAGTATAAACAACACCTCAAGGAAACTATCGTAGTCGGCGCACGGGAAGGCAGGGAAGTGGCACTTGGGCGAGACCGAGTCGGTGAAGAACTTGTACGCGCGGCGGTGGTTGCACAGCGAGCGGCCCTCAGCCGACGCCGCCGCCCACGGCAGCACTAGGTCCGACACCGCGCCCACGAACCTGACAAACGATACTTTATACAGTATATGTTGTAGTGATGAAATAATCCCGAAAATCGTGAGCGAAAAGAGTGAAAAGAGTGAGAATATAAGTAGTGTAAGAGATCGTTTAAAAATATATGTATGCATGTATAACTTGGTACGTTACTATACCATCGGCAACTGTCGGCGTCGTTAAGGTTGCAATTTGTCGGCCATTGTATCGTACGTAAATCACCTATAATCACTTAATAAAGTTTCTCATAGTTTTAACAATGTTTGGTTTTGATTCACTGACTCAATAGTATCAACCAGTGAATTTGCATTCACTGTTAGTTTTGGTGTCTTACTTTTAGTGGAAATATTCTTACGACGCAGACGTTATAAAATATGTATGGCCTACAGCTAAACTTCAACTATGAAAATCAATGCGTTTGTTAGCCATTCACGGCTAAATCCTAAACTACGAAATATAGAGAAAAGAAACACTAAACCTAAGTACATTACTCCTCTAAGGATGTTTTATGTTTATAAAATGTTGATTTTTGTGCAAAATCAAATTCATTAAATCATGATGATTTAAACCCTAACTGTAAATTGAACTAATTGGTTATATATAAGCATTAAATAGTGTTAGTTTTTTTGTATATAACCAATTAGATAGCCCAATTTACAAAATAATCTGTTGATAAATGTTTAGTTTTCATGGAAATTATATTGTACAAAGATCTCGCAATATTTTAAGATATCATGGGTATTATTATAATATTATATGAAGTATAAGTTGAAATCATTCAAATTTTCATAATTTTTGAGATAGTTATCCCGCCATTTACGTAAAGACAAGATTTTCCTTGCATTTCTCACCGTCGACTTTATTATAAATACCTATTTACATTTGAGTGACTTCACTACGTTCATTCATCCATTGCAGCTTATAAAAGTCCACTGCTGAACTAAGGTATCTCGTAAAGATTGCCTCATAGGAGGGATTTTGCCTTAGTTGCCACGATTGTATATTACTTGGCTTTATTGTCTACGAGCTGTTATCAGGAAGCTGCTGCTGCCTGTCTCAGTTTTCCTCACTCGCCTCTTGCAACACCCACGGGATGATATGTGTTAGTGGATATTTTTTTAACGCCACTACGATCGACTTACACCACGTACGAGATGAAAAAAGATGACTAAATCTACAACGCTGTCACCAGACCGCACTATTGCTTTGTTAACATTGAATTTATACCCTTTGTTAGTAGGTAGGTTTTACAATTACGTAAACTCGTATTTTATGATACAAGAATTTACCTACATGTAGATTTATATGCATGTATTAGAACTGTAGTACTTACAAATTGGAGCAGCCATGTTGAACACGGCCTCCATTAGGATAGAAGTCGACGTGGCCCAGAGGCTGAGCAGCGCCCAGTCCGCCCAAGATCAGGGTCTCTCCGTTGGAATGTATGACGTCTACGAACTTAGCATCTGTACGGTCGAGTCGAACTCGCGGATCTTGGAAGTCGAATAGTGGACCAGCAGGATCTAGACCTAAAAATGTCGAATATCTCTATTGTAGGAAATCCGCTGCCGTGATAATGTTTTTAACATTTGATTGAAGTATTATTAATAAATTTAATATATTTTGTAACAAATTTAATAAGCATAATTAAAATTAGTTTATAATTAAATTAATAAACATTAATTACACAGATCGACAGGTGATAAGGAACCAGACATTTAAGTAGTTAGTATATATATATATATATATTTTAGTTGACGGCTCCGTGGCGCAGTGGCTTAGCAATGAGTTGCTGCGCTGGGGGGCGCGGGTTCGAACCCCGCACGGAACAAGTATTTGTATGGCCTACAAATAATTGTTCCGGGTTCCGGGACGTTTGTCCTTGTGAAATTTGTGTTTGTAAACTGCCTCCACGATATAGGAGAAAATCCTAGTGTGGGGGTAACGTTTTTAAAAAAGAAAATATATTATATATATTATTTTTTTTAAATGTCTTTGTAAGGAACATTTTTATTGACGAGGAGTCCATAAATCATAAAAAATTGACTCCAAAGACAGAGAACAATTTCTATTTAATTTTTAAATTATATGCTTATGTTACTGATTGTTATAGAGTAGGAAATCGAAAAAAATCGCTGACATCTTCACAATATTTTTCTTAAGTTATTGTCATTTGTTTTTTTTTTGTTGTTAATTGTGTAACGTAGACGACGTCCTTGTTCGTGAATAATATTGATATTAAACTTTAACATTTTTCAGTATATTTTTTGCAGTTTTTAACGTAGTTTACTTTTTTATGTAAGAGAAACAGAGAGGAGGTGTACGCAAAACTTAAAATTTTAGGCAAGAAGCTCTAAAATTGCCTTTATTTTTTACCTGTTATCCTGCTAATATTTCGCAGTTCTGCGCCGGCAAAACCTGCTACGTGCGCGCCGAGGCTGAATCCAATTAGGTGAACATCCTCAAATCTTAAATCTATGTGTTCAGCCAAACCTGTAAAATAAATGTTCTTGTATTACATTGAAGTTTAATCTACTTACGTACGTACATATTATTTCTTTGACTGGCTTTGGCCTAGTGGTCGTAAACGCGACCGAGGTTTTTGGGGTCCCGAGTTCGAATTCCAGGTCGGGTCAAAATCATTTATTGGGTTTTCTCTGTAGTAGCCCGGAGTCAGAAACATGGCGGTGTTGCACCTCCGTGCCTTAAAAATGAAGCACGTAAAGCGGTCGGTCTTGCGCCCGATCTCTCTCTGATCGTGTCGGATTACCATCCCATCGGAACATGAGAGTGAGGGACTAGAGAGTGCACCTGTGCTTGCGCATGCACTCGGGCACATTAATTGCGCAGATGGCTAGTCTCCGTTGAGACTGGCCGCCGCGACTAAAAGTCGGTTTGAAGGACTATTATAATTGATTCAATTTTGCAACATAAGTTTGTCATACATGAAGTTGTTTATTAAGATTTTAAAACATCTGCGCCGCATCAGGCTTCTTTAATTTGCTACCCGCTTTGAAGACATTTTTTCTTGTCTGAGTTTACTACTAATTCATTGGCAACCTAGTCGTTACAATGTTTTTGTAAGGTGTTAACTTAGTTCTCGGGGAAACAATAATGTTTTAACTATCATTATTTATTATATCCCATTACAAGTTCATTGTTTACCTGGGACAAATAGTCCGACTAGGTAAGTCCAACTTCGACCGAGAGGTCAATCGACGGATTCAACTCGACTGGGCAGCGTTCGGGAAGCTACGACACATCTTCTCGTCAGACATACCTCAAAATCTTAAAACGAAATTGTACAACCAGTGCGTGATGCCAGTGATGACTTACGGAACTGAGACGTGGTCCTTCACTGCTGGCCGTATGAGGAAGCTCAAGGTCGCTCAGCGAGCTATGGAGAGGGCTATGCTCGGAGTTTCTCTGCGTGATAAACTTAGGAATGAGGATATTCGCAGTAGAACTAGAGTGACCGACATAGCCCAACGGATTAGTAAGCTGAAGTGGCAGTGGGCCGGCCATATAGCTCGAAGAACCGACAACCGATGGGGAAGAAAGGTTCTCGAGTGGCAGCCTCGTACCGGTAGGCGAAGTGTAGGGCGTCCCCCCACGAGATGGAGTGACGACCTGGTAAGACATGCAGGAAGTCGATGGATGCAGGTGGCTCAGGACCGTGCTTTGTGGCATTCTTTGGGGGAGGCCTATGTTCAGCAGTGGACTTGTGAAGGGCTGTAATGATGATGATGATGATGATTACAAGTTCACTATCGTAAATATGTCTTCCTAGAGAAATCCCCAAGCAGTCCTAAGTCAGACATTTCCCCAATCGCCTCTTACGACCACCATGGAATAAATTTCTTACCCTACACACAGAAATTTCAGACATTGCAACAATATAAAGAAGGTCCTACCTTGTAACATCATTGCTAGTTGTTTTCCGACAAGCCTTGTGTTTGCCGCTGCGCGGAGGTAGTTTGGCATCGACGCTCCTCTCTCCCAGTCAACGCACACCACGTTACACTCCTCCTGTTTGATAATATTACAGAGCAATGTGTACTCGATGTTACTGTTTATTGTATATTTATTGTAACCATTACAGCCTTTCAAAAATCCACTGCTGAACATGACCTCCCCTCTATGAGGCGATCTATATTTGCCGTAGTTGCCTCACTTAGCAAACGGTTTGGCAACGGCAGTTTTTTATTATTTTAAGTTGTTATCAGGGAAGTGCTGCCGTCGGCCGCCTACCTCCCGTTTCGTTTCCCTCTACCGCCTCTTACGACAGGGTTAGTGGGTAGTGGGTATTTCTCATGCCACCACTACATGGTTATTGTTACGACTGTTACTAATATAGTGTTTTTTTTTCTTATTAAGTGTATATGCTTAAATATTTAATAAATTACCAGCTGCTTTCGCAGAAGCTGTTCTGTCCTTTCTGCTAGGTGGCGCGATCACTCCATATTCACTCCGGACTTTTTCTTAGCAATAGACTAATCTCTCTTTTTTAGCAATAAACCAATATATATTTTGATAATGTCATATTGGTCCATAATTAATTTGTTAATATCTTATCTACAGTGCCACCTATCACATTCAACAATAGATTAATGAATATGAACTCGATTGGTCAAGTTAGAAGTTACACGATCACCATCGATTATATAAACTAAGGTCCACTCACCACAGCCATCAGAGCAGATCTCATTTCGTACACCCAGACATTATCGCAGTTGGAGCCAAAACCATGAACGATGATGCGCGTGGGCTTAGTAGAGTCAAATGCGTGCTGAGCCCAGCTCCATGCTGCAGACATATTGGCCGCCGACACCGACATTAGGGGCTGGTCACCTCTGCGAAACATCAACTTCAAATTTTAATTTAATCGTTAGTAAAAATGTGATAAGAGGGAATAATCTGTAATTGTATAAAAATATTTTATATTAATTAATATAATACTTAACACTATTAAATCATTTATATGTTAGTAGGTCATTTATAGCTACTGTAGCTCATGGGCTGACCGCTCGCTGTAAATTTCACAATACGCGAGCAACTCGGGTTCGATCTCAGTCAGCATCAACCAAATTATTGATTTCAATTTTAAGTGTTGATTTACCATGTGCTCGGCGGTTAAGGAAAACATCATGAGAAAACCTGCATATCTGAAGAATAAATATTTCAAAGACTTGTGAAGTCCGTCAACAAGCACTGGAGAAACGCGGCGGACAAATATTTGTACCCTCGAAAATAATGACGTATGTGGAAGCATAAGGTTGCTCAGCGAGCTATGGAGATGACTATGCTCGGAGTCTCTCTGCGTGATAGATTTTGTAATGAGGATATCTGCAGTAGAACCAGAGTAACCGACATAGTCCAACGGATTTGTACCTATACTATTATGTATTCTGTGTCTGAAGTGGCAACGTACCGAACATATAGCAACGAACCGACAACCAACGGGGAAAAAAGGTTCGTGAGTGGCAGCCTCGTAGCGGTAAGTGAACTGTAGACCGCTCCCCACTAGATGGAGTGACGACCTGGTAAACCCTCAAAACCAACCCTTAAAACTTGCAGCAGTAGAAATATTTCTGTAGTTTTATCGATTTTTAAGGGCAATAATCCTTATTATTTTAGATAAATAGAAATACCACAAAAAGTTATAACCGAGATTACAAAACGACATAACAAAAACACACACAGGAAACGTGCGTGCCCCTTCACCCTGCTCCTACTTTTCGGGATGTATCTTTCGAGAACACGGACCACCTAAAAGCGTTTGACTTATCTAATAGTGGGGCGTGCTAAAAGGCTTATTGGTGACGTTGATTTAGTTAAAACCAATCTGTTCAGCTGACTACTAACATAGGCGCAGAGTAGCCAGCTTCTCGGTATATTATAGGCCTACATTCCGGAGTGTGAGCAGAAATGACATGATTCAATTTGTCTCTCCCCTTTCCACCGACTATAAAATAAGATGCGTTTACTATCTAGGAATTCACCACCGCTAACCTATCACCAGGTGTAATTATAGTCAAGTAACGGCTTATAGTTATTTAAAACAAAATGTATAGTATTTTAAACTTTTTAACCGTTTTTTACATGGTATATTTACAAGGTATATTTTACAAGATCCCACCGGCGGATTTTGGACCTTTGCGGCAATTTTTGTACAATTGGAAGTTATAGCTACGCAGGGAATATTAAAGTCCCGCAAGTGCATGTGCAAAAACACACAGACACACTCATTCGTCCTAACCAAACCAACGATTATAACACAACCAGGTATGAAAACCAATAATTTGTGTTAGTTTGATTATTTTTGCAAGGATTTTGACATCGTCAGCTGGAATTTGTATTCAGGACCCGAAGTTTTTCACGAAGTTTCTCAAATCGAATTTAAATAACAATTTTTTGATGTCAACAAAGCTTAGAGTTCAAGTATACATAAGCAAGCTATTATGTAACTCTAAGCAACGAAGTTTACACTAACGCAATGGTGCGTATAGCACAGTATTCTGTCAGAAATGCATAAGACCAAATAGCCAGAATCTTTTGAATTATGTTTATATAATAATAATATCTTTATTTCGACCAACAAGGATAATATTACATAAAGGTGATAACAAAGCCTATTGTTAATAATTAATTATAATAATAAAGAAATGTTAAATAAAAATAAATAATTAAGAGAATAAATAAAACTCTTTCAATAAGAACCTTTGTTGATTTTTTGTTTAAGAATAAACATGATCAGGTTTAAATACTACTACGAGTATATATATTACCTTAATCCGAAAGGATATAAGCATTATTTAGTACATACACGTGGACTACTCTTATTTAATATCTTAAGTGTGGGTTTTGCCACTGTCTTGATTATTTGTTCACACAATTCATTCGTCAATTATCACGTGTTATTGAAATTTCACTTTCATTTTGTTTAATTTGTGACTCAACTGAACGTTTCCAAATATATCATTAAGAGGTCATTGGATTATTTATATGGAGTATTATTTATCCTTATATGCAATGAATTTAATAAAACATTTACTTCCAAAACATTCTCCAGTAATATATGTAGTCGCAAGGCATTTAATGAGTGGGCGACAGTAGGAATTCATAAGAGCAGACGAAGATCATAACCCAATCTTTCCGATACTTTTAAAGAATTTGTGAAAAATTATTCTAAAATGTTTAAAAGAGTGCGCTTCACAGCCAAATCTTTCCATATTAGCAACAAAATTAAGACTGCTAAAAATAAAATTAAAATGACGTGGAGTATAATAAATAACGAAACCGGCAAAGACCAACCTCGTAACACAAATTATCAATTGAAAATGAATAATGAATTGACTAGATCAAATCAAAAAGTCGCAGCGGTGTTTGAGAAATATTTTACTGATATTCCTATTTTGACAACAGAGACATAGTTCCCCAACTGGCGCCGAGTCATTACTCAAACATAATGTTAATATCTGTTTAAAATAATTAAAATTTGAAAATGTTTTATTATATAAATTACCACAAGATATTGTGAAATATTTCAAAACATGGTAAATGTAATGGCACGTGGACACCTCGCTTATGCCTATATTATGTTATGACACCTCGCGCACCGGCGCTCACTGCTGGTTTCTCTCGGTTCTCATCGGTCGGTTAGACTTATGCGTCGTTCGCGCGCCGAGTTGAGTGTTGAATTGTTTTAATTTTTCATTATCTCTTAAACTTAGCGTCCAAGAAACATGCTATAAGGAGCAAAGTATATCTCCATTAAATTTTCTTGATAATGTAGTAACTTTCGTTCGTAAGGATTAATATACCATGCCTAATAATAACGCTCATAAATCACTACCTATTAAATTTTCAATAATTTTTTATAACATAATACATTATTGTGTATTATGTATAAAGATAGGCATAAGGTGCTGGGGACTTATTTTATAGATGAAATAAAGGTCTATAGTACTTTTGTAGAACATTATATTCATGTATCACTAACCATTACGCCAGCGCACGCGGATAAAGCAGTTCGAGGGTGCTTTTTCTTCTGACTTGCTGAACAAAATATTTAAGGCTAACTGTAAAGTGTAGTGTAATGTTAGATAGCCTATATTATTTCTCATGAATTTGGCTATAATATAAAAAAAATATTTTTCAAATCGGACTATTAGTTCCAGAGGTTAGCGTGTTTAAACAAACAAAAAAAAAAACTCTTCCGCTTTATTATATTAGTATAGATTGTTTTGACATATCTAAAGCTGACAGCTGTAGGTTAAAACCGCTGCTCTTCCACTATCGGTTTTAGTTCGTTATTATCGACTTTCCTTTCCGGGAGTTTCATTTGTTCACGAGGTTCATTTGTGAGGTCAAGATTTGTGAAACTTAAGCTATTGAACCAATAGCGCTTAATACGTTCTTTATAATTATAGTTCGGTATACGTCATTGACTCATTGAGATTGTGAAGCCTTTGAAATGCATTGTTTCCACATCGGAAATTCATATAAAAATAACACAATTTTTTTTAGTCCATTGTCCATTGTTATAAATAGTGATAATGCACAAAAACAAAACTCAAACAAACGAGTTGAATGTAAATTCAAGAAAAACAACTTCCTTCTGCGTGAATCCCATATCTCTGGTGCCCTTTGACCTACAGGACCCAAATTCAAACTCGACCGAGCTACTACCTCAAGGTATCCACATACCAAATTTAAAGTCAATCGGTCCAGTGGAACGGAAGTTATCGTGTCGGCATACAGACTAACAGACTGCCAGCTAAAACCATTAACTTCCTTTCAATGCTACGCAGAAGGAAGTTAATAAATGTATAACAAATTTTTTAAAAAGATTATGATGCCTAAAATATATAATTTATTTGAATTCATAATGGTCAACTTAGCAAAACGACAATTTCATAGGCAAACCAAAATGTAAAAGCTAATAATTGAGATCGAATTCGATGATTTGAAACTTATACAGCGGTTGGTTATAGCATGTAACCATATTATGTTTTTTCTTTTACTTTGACGGATTCGGTTTCATAGTGTTGCCTGAAACACGAAATACAAGATTTCGACATAATAGTCAAACTGTAGAAAATATTATTTAACTTGGCACTTCATTTATTTATTTTTCATTATTAAATGCTGCAGACCAAATTAAGTTGGTTAATTAAAAAAAACACTGTCGAATTGTAAACTTCTTTTTTGAAGTCGGCTAACAAAACATAGATATTTTTAAAACTTAGAAATTCAAAGAGCAGTGCCAGCCCCTCATTTGTGCTGACGTTAAAACATTGAATCTTACCTGTTCATAGTAGAGTACATGAGAAAGTTAGTGCCAACTTCCTGCGGCGGACTAGGCAGCGTCTCGAGGTAGGCAAAGGGCCCTGTGTCTTCGAAGCACCCGAACTGGCCATAGCACACGCTGCCTTGTGACCTCTTAACCCTGGTTAAAGAAATAATATTGAATGTTTTCAAATTTTTGTTTTATAATTTGAAATTTAAATTATTATGGGAGAGGCCTACAATTGCTATGGTGCTGCGAGACCCAATATGTTCAACAGTCAACAGTTTATTGATTGCTGCTGAATACAACCAGAAAAAACGTTAATTTTTGGTTATAATGTTCTTGACATTAACATTACTTTGTGGATACTTACACAACATCAATAGGTTATGTTAAGTATGTAATATTATTTATAGATACTCGTTATTCGCGCTTAATATAAATCGAAATATCGTTTGATGCCTAATTGTTACAATGTTTTCCATTCCATAACTACTTAATATTAGTATATATAAATATAGGTATTACTAAACCTTTGACTTTACCACGTGCTCGGCGGTGAAGGAAAAATCGTGAGGTTCGCAAAGACGCATTGGGACAGTGCGGCGGACATTTTCTTGCCCTAAAACCCTCTCAGAAATGAGACGAGGCCCGTGCCCAGCAGTGGGACGTATATAGGCTGTAATTCTAACTTTAACTTTTATACATTTTATTTAAACACTTTTATTGAGAATGTAAGAGGAAATAAGCGCTTGCCTTAAATCATGTTAAATTTTCGCCACTGAAATAATTGTTATTTGCAAGTTTATGTGCTGATATACCGTATGCTCGGTGGTGAAAGGGAATATTGTGAGGAAACTTGACAACTTTAGTTTTATACATTTAAGTCACTTTGAAACTTATACGGCGGTTGGCCATAGCATAAAACCATGTTTTTTTTCTTTTATTTTGACGGATCGGTTTCATAGTATTCCCTGAAATACGAAATACTAGATTTCAACATAATAGTCGAACTCTAGTAGTTTGAAATACTTAATGTCAATATGTACGACTTTGGGTGTATGTTAGAAAACTGGAATTGAAGAACATTTTCAGAAAAAATTTATATAAAATGTAACTCAAATACAGCTTAACTAAGTGTTCCGTTTTACGAATTTTCTCATGGGACACTTATGATTTTGTTAAGGAGATGTTCTTCGGATGTTCTATTCTAAAACGACCTCTACACGAGCAATGCCGCGGGAAACGCTAGTTATTTATAAGTGCTTATTAATTCATAGACCTGTGAATTAAAGTGAAAGCAACTTAATGAATTTCCTTTTTAGCGCTTCGTGGGAAATGTCGCGTATTCATGAGTTCAAATGGTATAGCTTTAACAGTAGCCTAAGCGAGTGAAAGAGTAACAATGATGTAAGGTTTATTTAAATTCATTATTTTTAATAAATGTTTCGTTTTAAAATAAATTTAATAATATAATGTCTTTAGAATCTATCTACTACTTGCTATTACTATATATGTATAAAGCAATCCAACACAAATTGTTCGGGTAGTGAAAGCAGATAATGCGATTTGCCACGCAGTAGAAAGATTATTGCATAATTAGTTCCGGTTATTATTGACATTAAAAACTACGATTCTATTGATGACCTTATACGCGATATAAAGTCATAAACCTAAATTGTGAAATTGCTTTTCGGGGTCGAGATTATAACTTTAATAATTTCTGATAAATTAAACTTTAAATAAAATTTTTTGCTTTTAACTTTAACTTATTTCTGATTTAAATTTTATTCAATGAGATTGTAATAACTTTAAATAAAGCGGGTAATACATAAAGCTTAAAATGACTTTGTACTCTGTAAAATGCAGGTTTCCTTACAATGTTTTCCTTCACCGCCGAGCACGTGGTAAATCAGTACTTAAAATTACAATTAACAATTTCATTGGTGCCGGCGGGGATCGAACCCGGTTTGCTCGCATACTGTGAAATTTACAGCGAGCGCTAACCATCTGAGTTACCGCGATTCTTATGAGGTGGATTACGCACTATCGAAATATACTTTTAATATAAATTAAAAGCCAACTCCTAAACTCCTAAAACATAGTGTATAGAAGAATTAAAACTCCGACTTCAGAATGTGAAATTATTTTACTCTTTTAGTTGTTTGAAGTCGGCTTTTACTATTTATTAAAGTTACAGTCTATCAAAGTCCACTCCTGAACAAAGACCTCCTGCATAGTTTGCTTCATAAGGGGGATATTTGTCATATTTGTCACGCTTGACTGGTGGGCTTACAGTCGCAGATTTAAAAATTTTTAGTTGTTATTAAGAAGACGCTGCTGCCCGTCTCCTGGTTTGTTTCCTTCTGTCGCCTCTTACGACATCCACGAGACGATATGGGGTAATGTGTACAGTTCTTACACCGCCACTACACGGTATGTCATTATTATCTCAATGTCACCTAGCAGGAAAAACTTCATTTGGTATACGTATATGGACCAACCCTGAAGTAAAACCAAATTTATATGGGACCAACCCTGAAGTAAGAAATCGGCTCATAACTGATAAAGAAATAGCGTAATATACATACAAAAATACACTATCGAATTGTAAACCTCTTTCTTTTGAAGTCGGCTAAAAATGAATGGACCGTTATCTATTTTGTATTGCTGACTGTTACCGAGTTGAAATGTGTGCGTGCGAAACACATTGTCATCAACTTATGAATAACAATCTACGGAAACAATTCTATTATGTTGTGCGAGATGTGTGGCCCAGCCATAGCAGTAAAATCGTTCTGCGGTTTCCGCATTGTGCTTGAAGCATTCTTATAACTTACGTTGGCATCTTGAAGTAAATGTATGTTTTAAAATATTTCTTTAACAGAAAGAAAATTTGGTTGGATAGTCAAATAAATCATCTAGTATATCCGAGATGATATACAACAGCTGTCTATCGGATGTCTTGAGGTCTTTCTGGTCTTTAGCATGGTGGTCTTTTACGATACCCATGAGACGAACGACGACCCTTTTTTTCCTGGAAAAGAGACATTCCATCTTAGTCCTCAGGGGTGACAACGCATCTGCATTTTTATTGTTAATCGAGGGTAAATGTAGATTGTCTATGGGCCACAGCATCCACTTACCATCAGGTGGACTGTGTGCTCGTTTGTCACGCTTATTCTAATAAAAAAAAATGGCGCGTGATGCCATCTCTCTTACACTGTCACCTGTCACACGGCATGATCAGCCTACTAATCCCTCTGCCAAACGTGGCAGTTAGACAAATGCAATTACGGGCTGTCAAAAGAGATGATCTAATGCATCCGATTTATCAAAAGAGTAAACCTTTAGTGTGAAAACCATTTTACTCAACTAAAATTACATTTTCTAAAATCAACAAACATCCGTGGTAGCTCAGGGGCTAAACGCTGTAAATTTCACAGTACGCGAGCAACCCCGGTTCAATCCCCACCGGCAGCAATGAAATTGTTAATTGCTATGTTAAGTGCTGATTTACCATGTGCTTGGCGGTGAAGGAAAACATTGTGAGGAAATCTGCATGTCTGAGAAAGAAGAAAAAAAATTGGAAGATATGTGAAGTTCGATAACATGCATTGGGGCAGCGCAGCGGACATTTCCTTGCCGTAAAACCCTCTCAGAAATGAGAGGAGCCTGTGTCCAGCAGTGGGATGTATATAGCCTGTAACTTTAACTTTTAATGTCAACTATTGACAATTCTATTTAAATAAATTAACATAAATTTAATATGAAACCTTGAATAATCTCAACTTTATCCAAGTATGAAACAGTGTGAAATTAACATTTATACATGTATTACGAAATATACCTTGAAAATTTGATTACCGTGTTAATTTTATTGTTTTGTGTTTTAGCTTATACTTCAAATGAAAGATAAAAAGCAGCTAAACGTTTTTTTGCATCTTTTCTTTCACCAAGATAGTGTAGTGGCATTTTCTTTTGCTAAGTAAAATATAAAAATCTGCTTGAACTAAGTGCTTTGAAAATTTAAGTTATGTTAACAATTTAAATTATTAAGAGAAATATCCCGGCTTCTTTCAGCAATCTATAAAATTCCACGCTGGATGAAAAGTAATTAATAAATACCTCGTTCTACTTTTCTTCTGTTCCCACTGCTGTATAGAGGTGCGGACGGCGGCGAGGAGCTCTGCATCCCGGCGCTCGTCCTCGGCCTCCTGTGCAGGCGTTGCTGGCCGCCCTGCTCCTCGCCATGGCTCTAACTCTGCATCTTTTAAAAAAAATGGTATTTCATTTACCACAAGTGATTCTGCTAGTGGTCGAAATTCGAACGTAATTCATTAAAGTTTTAAGATTGATTGCACATAAAAACAGATATAAATCTCATACATAAAATATATAATTGACGTTTTTTTGTCTTGAAATCTTGAACTACACTCCACAGACTATTATGTGTTTGACATTGGCAGTATGAACTATGAACGTACAACATACTATTCATTATGTTAATTTTATTAACAGATAACAAATACATTATTGTAACATATATAATACATAATTTTTAGTTTCCTGCTATTCTTCCCAAGTTTGCCAAACACTTACTATAATATCAACTGTCAAAATGGCGTCGATAAAGCGGCGGCCTTTTGACCCTTTATTATTTGAATGACTGATGAAGAGCTATCGTATCACAAAGCCATCTATGCAAATTAGGCTGTAGTTTTTGAGCTATAAGAAAGTGACCATATTAACCGGATGACCATATTACCCTCACGTACCTTATATAACTTTAAGTATGACAAATTCCACACTCCTCCGTGCGCGCATTATGCTTAAACCCCTTGTACGAAGTTTTCCCCTCGCGTATTAATACATAGAGAATATTTAAAACAAAAACACAACACGCTTTTGTTCATGTTTTCCTAGCCGTTTTCAATTCTGATTTTTATTAATTCGTAAAAGAATAAGTTCGTACGTATTAGTAAACATCTTATGTACAATTCTGTATTATGATGGAGCGTTTGGCAATAAAATTGGAAAGACTTGTTTTTGGCAATAAAAGTACAGTTTTAAAAGTCATATTTCAGATCCAACAGAAACAACAGAACGAACAATCGTATTGTTACCAATTGCTACGCGCGTTTGCTTGTTTATTTATCTATTTGTTTAAGTTTCTCTATATCTATTTGCGCTAGTACGTAAAGGCTGACTTAATGCACACAGTAACATCATCGGCATTTTGCCCTCTGTGAATTACATAGCGATTGTTACATGTTCAGTGACATGATTCAACTTGTTTTGCAATGTTTTACGAAATTATGAAAACCAACATATAATTTCGTAACGTGTTGTGTGCGTAAGAACATAATATTATACTGATAAAAGACAAGGTAAGCAAGAAATCGAGAGAAAGTAACACGAGTTGAATTGACAGTTTTATCCGTTGTGTAATATGCTGCCAGCCACTTCCGAGCAAATAAGTTTTCTGTGGTCGTTTCTATTAGCAGAAAAAAACACCGGGAAAGTAGGGGAGGATAGGATATTAGTAGTAAGCGGGCAATACCGTCATTGCCCGCTGATTACAAAACACAACTAAATGACGTTGACTTGAGAAATTCGACGAAAACATTTGGTCACACCGTCTTCGACGAAAACATTTGGTCACGACGTCACACGTCCCGTACTTATCCCATCATCAACATCATCATAACATCTTATCAAAGTCCACTGCTGAACATCGACCCCTCCACAAATTGCCTCATAAGGAGGGCAAATTTTTTATAGTTATCACGCTTAGCGAGCGGTTTAACAACCGTAGCCTTTTACAGTTTACACAATAACAGCCAACAGGCCTCATAGCGAGAATATTTGCCATTTTGCCGTGCTTGGCAAGCGGGTTGGCAACAGTAGTTTTTTATTTTTATTAAGCTATTATTAGGAAGATATTGCTGGCCATCTCCTAATTCTACGGCCATACATGTGTCTGTCGACAAAAAATTTACAATTAATAATACGATTATTCATGTCTTTATAACATGCAAATAACCTATGGAGCTTAATAGGAGCCGGTTATTTTAATATTACGAGTACTTAAAATAGTAGTATTAAAACGAATTATTTAGAATAGTAGTATTGGAATATTTACAAGCAAATTTATGAATGGTTGATTTACAAAGTAAAAAAAATATATGGAAAATATCGCACTAAGAATTCTTTATGAAATGGCTGAAAAAAGTCTGAAATAATATTGGGTTATTATATAGCATTCTTATTTGGTTGGGCTGTATAAATATATAAAAGGAAAGCATAAATAAAAAAACCCGCCAGAAGAATGCCGAGGGTTAGTGGGAAAGGGAAAGAAACCGGCGGACAATGCGGACGGTATCGAGGAGCACCGCCTATTGCATTTGAACGCAAAGCAGGCTGTCATGAAGGCCTAGTCGCTTCAAATGACCCGAGAAGCAAACAGGGATTAGACCCCTCGCATTAAACGACTACGGGAATAATTTCGGCCGCCACGGCGGACCACCCCAGACGTCGAATCACCTCGTGAGTCAGGTTCAGAGATTGTTTTATAATTATATGACCGTTGGTTGCTGCCATTTATCGGAAAAAGTAAAGTAACGTTACAGTCCAGGGCACAGGTCTTCCTGTCATTTCTGAAAGGGTTAAGTGGAAGCCACTCAGAGTATGTCAACCATGTGACTTATCTGGCATTCTCCATAGTCGTGTTTTACAACACCCACAGTACGAAATGAGGTTAGGATTGTTGAGCCGCCATTACACGGTAAAAAATAATAATTTCGCAATTAACAAGTCATTAAACCTGTATAGTATCTGAGACAAAGCGAAAGAGTGAAAAAATTATCTTGAATCACGGATACTGTGTCGGCTTTATGCGGACTAGGTAACCTAAATGTCATCAGACGTCTCCGGGTTCGAGAGTGTTTGCCGCTTTTTACTGTTTGTAATGACCTTGATTCGCATTGTAGGGCTACATATAGCTAACTTGTTGTGGCCTACTATAGACAAAACCAGGCCGTCCCCACGACGTGATGGGAAATTAGAGAGCCGCTTAATGGCATTGTCAGGAGTTTTCCAAAGTACCATTTCGGAAAACTCATGCTGACGTTAATTGGATTTAAGATAATTATCAAAGACCATTTTTTTTTGCATCAATTTTTCAATTTCATAGAAGTTTTTTTAAGTTTTTCGATAATTTCTGTAATATCAGTTCGTGATTATTATCTGTTCATGATGTTTCAATACAATCGGCTCAGCCCTTCCAAATATTAGCCCGGAGTCCGAACAGACAGACAGACAAACAGATAAACAGAACGACTGCCTAAAATTTTAAAGAAGGTTATTCAGATTATTCTTAATAGCATAGCATAGCTGATTACCCCCTGTGCTTAATATAAGGCAATTATTTCGATATTACAGACCATAGACTTAGAATATACTGGTGTATAGACCAACATAGTGTGCAAGGGAGAAGAAAATTCCTTATGGATAAAATGCAAGATAGAAAAGGATAGCAAAACCTCATGACCGATTTTGAATGACAGGTCGGCACAAGTCGACACGCAAGAAATAAGCTCCCAGATATTTTGTAATTTTTTAAAGTGTAATAGTGGTTATTTTTAGTAAGCAACTTTTTCCAAAATGGTTACTTGTTCTGTGATTGACTGTGGTGTTAATAATAGAAATAATCCTGATAATTGCACATTTTACAGGTAAATTCTCAAGACGTCGTCAATGTTATGACGCGTTAATTTTTGGTTAAAATTTATGTCATATACTGTTTAAATATAGAATGTTTTCAATTATTTTGTTTATTATGTTTTGCAAAGAAAAAAGTGACGTTGATAATTTGCATGAATTTGGTAAATACATTTTTATACAAAATATTTTACATGTACGCTAGGGATTGACTCAACTATATCAAAATTTATGTCGATATTTATCTTGAATGTTATATTGAATCGATAGACTTGGTCACACAGCAAGAAAATAAATTCTCGGTTTTCGTTCTATAAATGTAGGTAATTTATTTTGCAGTTAGTTAAACAGATTCCCTCCGGATTCTATAATTAGAAAAATGGTTAAGGTTAATTGGACGGGTTGATTGGAATCCAAAGACAAACTCAACAATTTGCAGCAAACATTTACTTGAGAAGTATAAGAGAAAAAGTAGAATAAAAATAATTAAAAATTAAAAATTTTGTACAGCCGACTTCAATATAAGTTATTAAGAATAACTCAAAAACTATTGGCTTGACCTTGATCAAATTCATATGGGACTACACGAGAAGTACCAGCTTTCAATTAATAAAAGAATTATCGAAATCAGTCCACCCAGTAAAAACTTATGAGCTAACACACATAAAAAAATACAGTCGAATTGAGTACCGTCTCCTTTTTGGAAGTCGGCAGACAATCTTATTAAAAAGAGTAATTTTTGCATTATTTGTACCAGTAAGTATAACATTGGTTTAATAAGACTATAAAAATTGACTTTCAAAACTTTAGTTAAAAATAGAGACAGAATTTTAGACAGTATAAAACTGTAGTACATTAAAGTAAAAAATCTTGAGATTATCCTATTTAAGCCATTATGAACCCAAGTAAGTATCTATTTATCAACCAAAAAATATGTATAACCTTACTTCACCACCCGCACATCACGGTCACACTAGTGCAATATTCATAGCATCACGCTATTTTCCCCAAGAGGTTGAGCGGAGTTTCGGATTATATTCCCAAGTTCAAAAGTTTTATCATAGTGTGATAAAACTTTTAGCGTAGTTAGATATAGTATATTTAGTAATGCTCTTGAAGCGCCACTAGACGCCCGCGCATGAGACGTGTGGTTCAATGTACCAGGATAGTATAAATTCCATAGTATTTGATACTCACAACGCTCGATGCCCGATTCGTGCTTGATGGCCGACGACATTGTACCGAGGGCATAAAAAACTTTGGTTCATCGCCTACAATGTTAGTAGTAGAGAAGAGGAACTCGTGGTTAAGTAATAGCTGGGCGAATCAATAGATCTGCGAGATTAAGTTGCACTTGCCGCCAGTGGCGTAGCGTGCCTTAGATGGGCCCTGTATCAAAATTTGTTGAGGGGCCCCAATGAAGAGTAACGATTTCATAAAAGGAACAAAACAAGCGTTTTTATTTAAAATGATTGAATTAAAATGATTGCATATTATTGATTATTCGTTATTCATCATCATTACAGCCCTTCACAAGTCCACTGCTGA